TTGCCAAAATCAACAGCTTAAAAACTTAAGACTTTTCAACTTTATACACAACCATTCCCCACGATAAATTAAAATCCAGGTTTTTTGATATCATTGACAGCTGCTTTTTCAATAAAAATGGAACTCATAGATTTACTTACCTTGTAATTGGTCGTTTGCAAAATTATTTTGTTAAAAACATTCTGATTGTACACACAAGTACTCTGAAGTTGACATTCAAAAGATGCTCGAGTTTCTGATTGACAATATCTATGTGGTATTTGGAGACCAGGTCTTCCAAAAATCTATTGGAATTCCCCTGGGTACCAATTGCGCCCCGTTATTAGCAGACCTTTTTTGTATTCATATGAAGCAGACTTTGTCCAAAATCTTTTACGTGATAAGAAGAAAACACTTGCTGTGGCCTTCAACTCGACATTTAGATATATCGAGACGTATTGTCAATAAACAATTGTTATTTCCATTCTAATGTCGATACGATATATCCCGGTGAGCTTGAGATAAAAGATACTACAGAATCTGACACATCTGTTTCATATTTGGATATTTTACTTGAAAAAGACGTTAATGGTACTCTAACAACCAAGCTTTATGATAAACGTGAGGACTTTAACTTTTCATCGTCGACTTCCCTTAATTTTGCAGCGATATACCTTCATCACCTGCATACGGGGTTTACATCTCTCAGTTGATTCGATACGCAAGAGCATGCTCTACGTATGTATAATTTCTAAAACGAGGTAAATTATTGACAAACAAGTTGATGAAACAAGAATATCAGCAGTATCGTTTTAAGTCATCATTTCGTAAGTTCTATGGTCGATACAATGACCTTGTCAGCAAATACAATTTATCATTGAGTCAAATGCTAACTGACGTTTTTCATACTAATTGTTAGGCCATTATTTACACACTGAATTGTCGTCGGATTTTTCAGTTATTTCCCAATCATGACAAGGAGCACACGGCGGGTGTGACCGGTCGGCAGGGGATGCTCACTCCTCCAAGGCACCTGATCCTACCTCTGATGTTTTGGAGGTCCGTGTTTGCTCTGCGCCTATTTTGTAATGTTTAATGGACTTCTGAGCTTGAATACTGTTCGTTATCTCCATATATTTCATCTAAGCCATTGTGGGGTCTTTTTATTCCCAAACCGCATGACAATAATCAAAGAAAGATTGTACAATATCAGATATATCATGGAGAGTGATATTCATCAGTGTCTTTGAGGCATCCCTAAAGATGAGTATGCTGGGGTTTTCTGGTCACAGGCACAAAAACCTAAGACATGTGTAGAGGGTAACAGGGAATGGTTTGAGGGATTGAAACTAGTACTTTTCTTATTTCTAGATGACATTTTGCATTATTTATTGAACAACCCTCGTACATAATCCCTGCGTCGCCCGCGTGACGCAGTGGTTAGAGAGTCTGCTCTTCAGTCGCAGAGTAAGGAGCTGATCTTAACGTTGCGGGTTTGAATCCACTGCGGGACATGAAGACTGGTCTTTCGGATGAGGCCTTGTAAACAGAGATCCCATGTCGCAGTAAATGTTTGCACGAAAAAGATCTATCACTGCTCAATAGCCCTGAGTGCCGAGTATAGTTTTAAATTTGCAACCCTCCACCGGCAAATTGTGGTGTCTCCATATGAGTGAAAAATTCTCGAGATGGACGTTAAACACCAAACAACAAAAAAATAATCCCTGCCTATTGACGTCAGACACAATGACTGACCTGGCCATGGAAATTAGCACTTCATCTTTCACTTTGTAAAATTTATATTATTGTAAATATTGAGAAATTAACACGTAATTTCATCAAAAAGATTATCACAGAGAAACCATTTGGAAATGTAAATATAAAATTATTATTTATAATTATTTAGTTAGCAGATGTTCGTTTTAGGTATATTATATTTTTTAAGTGTCGCACGAAATAAAATGCCAAGAATAAAACATACCTTTGTAAAAGTAAGGTATTTCAGGTTAAAATTTGGCTAAATTATTCACATTTCACTTTAAGATAATTACATTACTGATTGTTATATAAGAATATATTCCATTCCTTGGTCAAAATGCTTATTTGTGCAGATAGAGATAACACGCAGAAACATAGACTATGCATCGATTTTTGTGCAATTAGAAATGATCTTAAGTGAAATAAAGCATGAACATAAGTAAAAGCTTACGAACTTGTTCAATTCAGAAACTTTCACAATTTTATTTAGTTAAAAATTTTTAAAACGAAGCCATCAAATGCACGACACCCTATGCACAACATTTACATATTTAAGCGACATGTATGTGAAAGTAGTGCAAAAAATTTAGTTTTCTAAAGATCAGTATTTTTTTAAAGCAAAACGATGAAAAGAAATGATAACAAATCTTAATAAATGAAAAATAGAGCTTAGTATCGAGTTGACGCCATTTTGCGTTCTTTATTAAATATTTTTCGACTTATTTAACATTGGTTTGTTTGCATGTCGAATGCATTTGAAAAATTTTCTTTAGAATTTCGTTAGTTTAGTTTTTATTAATTTAACCCTTAATGTGGGAATAAAAGGAAACCCCGTCGAATTTTTATGCACACTGCAGGTGAATTTATATGTAGAACATTTTTTAAATTGATTTTTTTTATTGAAATTAAACGGTTTTATTTTCTCAGAGTAAAAACATTTTAAATTTATTTTGTTTTAAATATTTAGGGCTCGATTTTACAAGTAAAGGAGTTTATTGTATTTAACTTCCCTACTCTTTCACTTTGAACGGTGCAAGAATAACTAAATATATTATTCATACAAATGGGTGCTTACCCTTTCTTACCAGCGACAACTTCAGAATGCATATGTTTTTAAAAATTATATTAAACTGCTACATGATTTTTTCAAATATAATGAATTTTGATTGCATGCCCTGATAAATGCATTGGAATGTTGTGAACAAATTTGACATATTTTTTGTGGACTAGAAATGAAACCATGGTTATTATTAGTGAAGATTATACTTAAATACAATAATTACAAATTTGCACGAGGTGAAAGATATTGCCGCCTTATTAAAATATACTGTAAAATAAAAAAGAAATTTTTTTTCTTATTACTATCCCCTTTTTCCCAAAGTATATTTTCATATGTAACGGGAGTGGAGAAAAATGCAGCGGACCAGAACGGGATTCGAACCCGGGCCCCCTGAATCTCCAGTCAGGTGCTCTACCAACTGAGCTATCTGGCCACCGGCGATCGAACCCGTCTGACCGCCACACATGCACCACCTTGTACGGCAGCATATTCCTGCCAATAAAAATAACGACTTAGTAAAATATTATTTGAACTGTCAGCAAAACACCTCTGTAATCTTGCATCCCTTGTATCCCACTGTAGGACTATATTTTGAAAATTTCAAAGTAAATTAATGTTAGGCAGTAAAGAATAACATATCGACATATTATGAGAAGAAAGTGTTTACGCTTGTTTCGGTATCAAGAGTTTGAAGAATGTCTTATTTTTGCTTTTTTGTTCGCACTGTCTGTAAGTTAAGAAACAATAGACTGAGCGCAATATAAATATGGTAGTAGAGCATGAAATTACTGCAACCCAACTTTTATTCGCGAGTATCGTGACTTTGCTTTACTTGGGCATTTTATTGTTTCAAATTAGGCTTAAACTGGAATGTTTACTTCATTGCAAAATCTAGTAATCACAAATAAAGATGTCACGAATAAAATTAGGATTTTTCAGTGTCATCATAGATTTTTTAGGTGAAAAGAGGAAAGCATTTTTCATAATCTTAAACATACGTATGAATCATCAAGTATCTTTCAGTGACCTTTTTTTGACCCTTTCGAAATTCCGACCATTCAAGTATATTTAAGTTATCATTCAAGATTTTTTATGAACCTTTCATTGGTATATTAGTTAACATTCTTTAACCATTTAGTAAAATCATAATTATTTTTAAAGGTCTTTCCATTATTCTTATAGTGTTAAAAATATTCCAGTGGAAATTGTTAACTGAACCCGGTAATGATTTTCAATAATGTGTGTTTAATAAAAATCTAAATGAAATCTGAATAGAGACTCTAGACTAATATATGTCCAAATATAATTATAGACATGTTTAAAAAGCTTCAAATTCAAACTTAAAATAAAAATATTTTTAAATGTTTTAACCATTGCACTAAACAAAGATTAAGATAAAGAAATTTATCAAGAAGATGGATAGGAATAATTCAGAATTAAATTGACAGAGAATTTGCTTTAAAGAAGAAAACACTAATTTTATTTTTTTCTATCTCCAGTATATTTTCCGCATTATTTCTTTTGTCTATCTTATACAATTATTTTTCATAGAATACCATGGCTCTTGCCAAGTATTTTTATTTTTTTTTTTATTTTTAAAATGTTATTTTACTTTAATACAAATATTTTCTACTCGAAAACAATACACTTTTAACTCATTATACTATAAAAAAAATGTTAAGAAATTATAATGAGCAGATTATTATGTAAAAATTAATGATACACAGGAAGATAACTGGAAAGACTTTGAAATTTATCTGCCACTCAGTTAATGAATGCCTACTTAAAGGTTACATTGTACTAAAAGACTTCTTTCAGTGACTTTTCACATCCATTTCAGTATTGATTTAGTTACCTTTCCATCGTCTGAAAGGTGCAATTTCATCCCGTGACGTACTTAATTCTCAACACAAAAGAAATTCAATACAATTAAGTCAAAGTTTAATATTATTATTTTGTACAAATAAATAAATAAACGTGACTATAGATTCGTAAGAAAGTTTCACCTAAATATCAAGAGAATACAAAATTGCTAAATTGTTTCTTATTTTAACAAGGCTTTATATCAACAAAGCCTGGCACGTCTGTTGATTTTAAAACAATCAGACACAAGTACTGAATTACTTATTTTAAAATGCTGTAATGTTAAAGAAAAACTTGAATGAACTATTGAAAACTTTATAACGCAAACTTTCCTGCTACAGTTACAGTACCTGTTACACTAAGACATTACTGTCCACAATATCCTCTAAATATTCGTAAACCTTTATGAAACTGCAATCATGCTGCCCAAGATAAATTCTTCCTTCGGTATCAACGCATATACCCCATGGGTCTGTGATTCCGTCACTTTGATTCAAAATTATAGATTTCAATTTTCCATTAATATCAAGTAAATGGACACTTGGATTTGATTTATGCCGATTGCACACAAGTATATGACCGAAGATGTCGTTGCATATCCCAGTTGGAAAAAAATCAACTTGTTTCGGTTGACCATCATAGGTAAAAAGTAATTCCCCAGATTTATCTACTGCTCTTACCAAACATGTATCAATATCTGCAGTGCAAATACTCATATTTATGTTTTCTGACAGATAAAGTGGCGATACATACAATCGCTTATTTTGATAATATTCGATTTCAGATAGAAGAGTTCCTTTATTGTTATATCTTGCAAGTTTTGTTTTAGACCCCTTGTCAATCAAAATATAAAGTCCAAGAATTATGTGTCCATTGAATCCTGAGGTGCAAATACTAAGAATACTCCATTCTGGAGCAATGATGGTGCTTTTAAATCCATCTGGAGATATTCTTTCTACTCTTTCGTCATTTATCAATAGTAGGTTCCCATTTTTCTCTAAAGCATGTGAAGAACTGCCCCATATGTCATCAATTGCAAAACATTTTACAATCCTGCCTTGACGATCAATATTCATGACACGTTTCCGATCACTTAGCCAGATCTTTTCATTTGACACAAAACCAATATGATTTATATTGTGAACGTTAGATATATCTATATCAGTATATGGCTTTGGACTCTCCAGTAAACGTTTGTTCTTCTGTATCCTCTGTTGTTCTATAAAAAAGAATATGCTTAAAACTTAGATTTATATCTATCAAAACACAAAAAATATTGTGAGTATTTGAATTCACACAAGATCAGTTAACATATTATCATAGTGTGCAAAATGAACACATAAATAACATAAATAACAGTTCATTGATTTATGTAGCGCTATACACAGTTCCTCCTAATATTTTAAGAAACAAGTGTTTTATGGGCAATTTATTGTGGCTCTACTTCTTTTTGGGGAAAATGTTTTATTTCATATCTTTAATTTTCCTATGTAAAACTCTTATTACCTCTTATAGCCCTACTAACCTCTGTGGGCCACGACTTAAATTTTTTTTCTCAAGAATGCCATAACCTTAAAATATCTATCCAAGAACGACTAAACAACGATTAATCATATCAATATACAAGAATTATAATGTAAAACAGATTTGAGATTGCGCATCAAACAAGGATATAGAGTAGGCCGAAATAGGAAAATTCCACATAAGAAAAACAGCATTTTGTTAAGTACTTGTTGCTATATATTTCTGTGATGACTTTCTGATTTCTATTTCACAATTCACTCAAAGACCTCTTACCTTTCTGAAATAATGCTATTTCCTCTTCTTGCAATTTGAGCTCTGAAATAACTATTGTTAATATTGTTTAAGATTAATTGATTTTGATACTTGAAAACTTTTATCTTCATGCAATGCAAACCAGACTAGTAAAACATAATATAAATCAGTTTAAATAATTAAGTATTTTATGATTAAATATATTATTAAAATCAGTGTTATCAATGAAAGTACGCATATGAAAGTGAATTTGTTAATTAAACCTTTTCTCTTTTCTTCTAACACACACACACACACACACACACACACACACACAGAGAGAGAGAGAGATAGAGAGAGAGAGGGAGAGAAAGAGAGGAAAAGAGGCTGGTAGGTTAAGATTTAACTTTTAATTTCAAACTATATATGTATTCACTTCTCTGAACTACCAACATATGGGAAAATGACATCAAGTCACTGCAAACTTGAGCTGTTATGACGGACATAGTGTCTAAAATATTACTCCTTATTTCCAACTATTTGTAAAGAGTTATAAGATTATTACTAATTTCATATGTATTAATTTGTAATCTGAAGCTTGAGTGTACAATTTCATTATTGAATACTTAAAACAATACTGTGTTTCATTAGCTTTCATTGAAATTCAGGGTTTTAGATACACCCCCTTCCCAAGAAAAAAAGAGAAAAAGAAAAAAAAAAAAAAAAAAAAAAAAAAAAAAAAAAAAAAACACCAATTAAACTTTTTTTCCTTGTTTATGTCAGTATTAGAGTTAGAAGTGGTGTTATGTGTATATAAAAGAAACTGGCGCATTTCGTGGAAATCAGTAAGATGACTGTTTTCTCTAGACGATATCTTGCTTGGGAAAATAAGCCATTACTTCCCTAATATAAATTACGATGCAGAGTAAAATATATATACTTACAGGGGCGGAACTGTCAAGATATTATACAGCTGGGAGAGAAATCTTGCCTCTATTTGTGTACATAGCTAACAAATTTAAATCAAGCCAGAGTTCGCAATGTATTTATATGTTTACGATTGATTTCAAAGCTTTGGCTAGCCTTCGAAACCTTATTTAAATTAGCTGCGGAGAGAGAAAGAGAGGGGGTTACCTTCTAACAACTCTGTCGACGTTTCGTCGTTCCGTTCATCTGAAACACAAGAATAAAAATAATGCAATTTTCCTATTTTATTTTGACAATAATTCTTTGGGGTGTTAAAACGGAGATCTACGGTTGCAACAGTGTTTTTTAAAAAACATAACCCGCTTGAGAAGATTATATTCTCTAATTTTGCAATGATTAAAAGAAGGGTCATATAAAAGCTGAACATTGAAACATCTAAAGAATTCTTAAACAGGGGAGATAATAAAATAAAAAGAGACTTAATGTTATTGTGTTACTTGATTGATTAACAACAATCAATTTTCATAAGAAATAATGGAGAGAAAATGTTCAGTGCACGTTAAAATATAAGACTCTCAACCTAATTTTTTATGATATATATATATATATATATATATATATATATATATATATATATATATATATATATATATATATATATATATATATATATATATATATATATATATATATATATATGTTTCATATATATAAGCCCTTCGGGCTTTATGGAATTTGATCTCGTGACCAACCCGTATTTATATCCCGATAGATGTTTAAAAATGATACCTTATTTCTTAAATATATAAAGATTGATTGATTGATTGTATGTTGTTTAACGTCCCTCTTGAGAATTTTTCACTCATATGGAGACGCCACCACTTGCCGGTGGAGAGCTGCAAATTTCGTCCTATACTCGGCACTTACGGCCATTGAGCAGCGAGGGATCTTTTTCGTGCCAGCACCTACTGCGACACGGGAACTCGGTTTATACGGTCTCATCCGAAGGACCGGTCTCCACGTCCCACAGTGGGATTCGAACCCGCGACGTAAGGATCCACTCCTTACTTCGCGACTCTAGAGCAGACGCTCTAACCACTGCGCCACGCGGGCGACTATATATAAAGAAAGCACAAAGAAATTCACTTTTACAAGGATACCCACTTCCGCCCCAGCCCGGGTTTGCAATATATATATATATATATATATATATATATATATATATATATATATATATATATATATATATATATATATATATATATATATATATATATATATATATATATATATATGTGTGTGTGTGTGTGTGTGTGTGTGTGTGTGAGGGTGTGTGTGTGTGTGTGTGTGTGTGTGTGTGTGTGTGTGAGGGTGTGTGTGTGGGTGTGTGTGGGTGTGTTGTGTGGGTGTGTTGTGTGGGTGTGTGTGTGCGTGTGTTAAGATCGACATGGAAGGAAGTTATTCGGTGACATTACGTTAGGAATAGTATAAATAACAATAAACAATGTTGATTTTGTAACCGTTAACACATACATGAGATAACCAGTAGTAATTTAGATATAAAGTAATATTGAGATAAGGAATATTTACCTTCAGAACTTTCCCGTGATCGCCATAATTTGGATAGCCATCCTGATGTCAGGAATCCTAGCCACCAAAGAAACACAATGAAATATAAAGCAAATCATGTATCTTTAGACTGAGCTTTAAAGAAAATTATTTGGAGTTTGAGGTAATTATATTGTGGAAGTTAAAAAAAACTATTTGGAATTTAGATTAACAATATTAGTTCCGAATATATTGGGCAATAGTAAGATATATCCATATACATATTGTTTTTGTTTCCCCAACTGCATTGTGTGTTTAGCATAAGCTTAAAGACATCAATTGGCAGCGCATCAACTTAAAACATTATATCTCATTATGCGATTCTCGGTTTACATCATTTAGATAAATAAAAACTATTTCATAAATCAAATGATGCTGATAACTGGTGAATAAGATAGTGTGTGTGATTTCAACACAGAAAAATGTGCATTTGTTACGTTTTACTTACCACTGTGTTTCAAATATCTTCTGATCTCTTTGTTATAACGGAATGCAAATATACATGCAGCAGATGTACACAAGGAAGTTGACAAACATGCTATTAGAACGCTAAAAAAATTAGAAAGTTTAATTTGAACAAGGAACACAAAAAAGAAATGCTTGTATATCAATGCAATTTTTTCTGGTCTGGCATCTGCTGATTTCTGTTGTTTTTATTTCCTATCCATTTCAGTGTAAAACATATATCCTCTACTGTGTTTTACCCTACTTCCAGGGGCCAAATGCAGTTTAACAACCCTCAATTTGCACAAGATACTCCAGTATAATATTAGACATGATTATGCTGTTCTTCATATTAAGATTTAATTTTAATCAAATATAATTCTTTGTGAAATGTTGATCCCTATTATTTTCAAACACAAAACAAAAAGGTTATGATTTGAACAAACCTGAACCGACATTACCTGAGTATGCTTGTATAGAACTAGGGATGGATATCGCCAAAAATTTTGTATCGTGATATATCACAATTTTTTTTTCAAGAAGTATCACGATAAAATCATGATATTTTTTCACAAAACTTTTACTATAATTTTAAATGAATTTTCATGATTTTTTAAACAAAAAATAGTGTGAAAACATAACTTCACTTTTTTTTAGTTTTATTTATATATTAATAAAGCATTTTGGATTCTATGATGTTGTTTTACTATATATATAGCAACATTTTTACGGTTCCTGTAATTGTTGTTTAATACTTTGAACAAAAAAAATAATTATTTCCGGAATATTATAATTACATACTAAATACCAATATTTTAGTCTCCTTATCACGATACGTATCGCTCAATAAAAAATTACGATATACCGGTATACCGATAAAATCGCATATCTCTTTATAGAACTATCCCTAATCATGGCCTAGCTGATCTTGAAATTAAGAATTTAAATAAAGAAAATTCTATATATTTTCGTGTAAAACTTGATCGCCTTTTGTTGTTTTCTACAGAATCTACACAACCTGGGGCTGCTTGCTGATCAATGTGACTTGCCATGGCCCTGGAGATGTTCACAGGATCTTAATTGTTTCCCATATATTTTCATATTAAATTTTGATTTCCTATATTCCGTCCCATCTGACCAAAAGGGGTCCATGGGCAATATTCAATTTATACTTTGTCAGAAAAAGATAACTCAAGTTTCAATTTGTCTGACCAAACATCCAACCTTATTTTGCCTCTGCTTGTTGAGCTTCCTCTATCAGAGGACATGGTCCTTCACTTAAACTAACTTGAATGCATTTCATCAAAGGATATGTGCGTAAATGTTTAGACTAAACCCCAATATTTTAACTGCCTACTCAATATGACGTCATAGCAAACTATATGACGTGATTTTTAGAGATTACGATTGTTTCATATTTAAAGATAAAAATGAATGGAAATATGCTTAACATTATATAAACTAATATTGTCATTTTTGATGGTATAATTAAGGAACTATTTGTCAAGGAGATTGAATAAATAATAACAAATAACTGCTGATGAATTTTTGCCGAGTGAAAATGAAACGTAACTAAAATTCATGTTAACAAATATATAAATGGAGTTAAAGAGAATATACCGCGAGTATTACGTGTGATTCATAAGGAATTGAAATTTAAAAATCAGGTACGCTGATTTATTTTCATCATGCTTTCTTATAATCACATGCAGTGTTTTAAAATCCCGATTAGCCCTTCCTCTGTCGTTCTTTACAACAATGATGCAAAAGTTCAACACTTCGCCGCATTCTTTGAACATAATGTTTGTTCATATATAAAGCTTGTGTTCTATAAAAAAAGTGCTGCTAGAATCGTGTGGTTAATATACATTGATGACAATTCTTTGATCTTCTGTACAAAAAGTCAAAAAAAAATAGTAAGGTATCACGCAAAAATGTGGTATGTGATGTATTTCAATTAATTATTTTACAAACAAAAATGAATTATCCCCGGGAAAATATTGAACTTTCCACTTTTTTCATCAAGGCTTTTTTCCTAAATTATAGACGTTGCATACTTTCGTGACAATGTAGTGCTTATTTCAGACTACGTCCCATTAAACTCTATACAATGGATAATAATGACAATAAATGTTTTAACTGTGCCGTTTTTTGATTTATTAGTGTTACATATTAAATGAAAGGGTAAATTTGCCGAAATGATTTGGATCATGACTTAAACTATATGCGTGACTTATACATTTGATATTGTGTAATATATGTTTTTGTAATTAATATATAAATTTTGATAAACAGAAATATTGAAACTCTATATTGCATTTTTACCCTTTTTTGTTCTTTTTTTTTTTTTGTCAAATATAAAGAAAATACACTATGGTATATATTCTCAAGAAATCTCAAACAATATTTGAGACATTCTTTTATAGGTGCGCGATATTCTTTTCAGTTTTCTATAAAAAATTCTGCTAAATGAACTTGACAAAGAGAGAATCGATTCCAGTTTTCCTCGACTTTATCTTACACACAGGCACTTATGGCCTTTACACACCATTCGATATTTGAAAGAAAAATTTGAACGACAAACCTTTCCCTTTTCGTTCATTCGAATATACGTTACATTTTATTGATAATGTAACCTTTTTTCACTATGAACTATTTCTAAGTATCTTGTTTTCGACAGGAACATTAAAAAGAGAAGTTTGCAAATCTTTTCTCGTCGTCAGCCCCAACTGGCTAAAAAATCGAGTGATTGTGTATCTAAAGCATACCAAAACATAGAATATGCATTTGTCCAAAAATTTGTTACGAATTATTTTTATTCATTAATTCTTCCATTTAATTTCTAAGTTCAATTAAATTACTCACATCTAGGGTAAATTTACGTGGCCTGAAATTAATACTCCGATGACATCACACATAGGATAATGCTAGAAAATACCGACATAGAAAAATTGCCAAATTTTCTTTTGATATTAACGGAAATTTCTGTATATCATTGTATCTGATTCTGATGGATGGAGATCAGAGTTTAGCTAACGACCTTGCAACTAATTGTGAAAAAATTCTTACTACTGGGTCGGGAAATTATTTTGATGCGAAGCATTGTAAAGGATTTAAAAATTCGACGCTGCTGTTCTTGCTCTTCCGGATTGATGCAAGAGAAAAAATTGTCGATCTCTGATTAAAAAAAAATAAATTGAAATGGGGGAGGTTTTCGTGCCCAAAATTCCTATGATCTTACATACTGTATAAACATCATCTTTGATCCATACCCAAGGGTCTGTGTTTGTTTTCTTTGTTTGCATTTTTGTTTTTTATGTTCATCTGTATGTTTCCATTTACGATAAAGTCAAGTCGTCCAACAATCTGTTGGAATTGTTTTCTTTGTTTACATTATCATGGTTTTTGTTCATCTGTATAATTCATTTAAGGTAATAAAATAAAGTCTTCTAACAATCTGTCGGAATTTCCATCGGTAATTTGCGCCCCTTTATTAACAGACCTATTTTTATATTCATACGAAGCAGAATTTATTAAAAAAGTACATGAATAGAAGAAACCACTAGCTTCAACTCGATATTAAGTTATACTGACGACGTCCTCATTTCCCAAGTTCTATGGTCGATACAATAGCCTTATCAGCAAATATAATCTATCATTAAGTCGAATGCTGACTGACGTTTTTCATACTCATTGTTAGGCCATTTTTTAAAACTGAATTGTCTACAGATTTTTCCGTTTGCCTATTCATGACAAGGAGCACAAGGCGGGTGATACCGGTCGACAGGGGATGCTTTTGAGATCGATCACTGTTCGTTATCTTCACCTTTTTTATTGCTCCTCCATACATATGGCACCTGATCTCACTTTTGATGCTTTTAAAGGTCCAAGTTTGCTCTGCTACCGATTTGTACAGTTTCAATGGACTTATGAGCTTGATAACTGTTCGTTATCTCCATATTTCATGCATATGGAAATAATGAAAAGCTTCTACAGCATTATGAAAGACTTACCTTATTAAAAGGTAATTCTTTTCATCTGTTGATAAATTGTGATAAACACCATAACAAGAGATGTCTAGTAACACAAAAGAAATGCTAAATATAAACAAAAGTTTTCATTGATAGTGGAAATGAATGTAACAATAAGCTGCATTGTTGTTATAGTTCAAAGGTCTTTTTAACCAAAAAACTGTGAATAAAGGATAGTTGCATAATTATTAATACATCTATGTAAGGGAAAAATACCCATTCCACATTATTTATGATAAAATCGCGATTGTTTACTTCTATGCAAATTAATAGGAGGCAAATCATTTGCATTGTATACAAGAAGGTAAGCTTTACTATTGCGTTAGTGGTATTACACGGATGTAATCTTCATGTTATCTTATAAGCAAGCAATCAGAAAACTATTTTCCTGCATATGTGTACTTACAGAGGTAAAACTCTGAGGACTTATAACTATTTGGACAAGCTAATGATGCTATGTCGCATTTTCTTTTCCAGTGAGGGACTAATTTCCCTATCGCCTTTTTAAACGCTGCACAATATCCTGGAATTCAATTTAATTTAAGATTTAAATAAAAGTTGAAAAGATAAAGAAAATATTTTTTTTAAAATTGTTGATAATTCTTTCAACTGATTCATACATACCTGACTTTATGGTAACCACAGGGGCACAAACTTCTACAAGTGTATTGTCCTCGTAGTTTAAAACACAGTGGTATTTAAAATTTGAGGGATCTGTGCAGTTCTGTTTCTGAGCCAGTGCTTCACAGTTTTTATTTTTTTCTGCATACTCTTTTTCTGATTTTGTTATCGGACAATGTGAGATACTTTTTAGTGATCTCGATGACCATGTACAAGATAAGGACAATACAAAGCTGAAGATGTACTGAAGATAAATGAAATTATATTATAACTAGGCTTAAAAGAACGAATTAGCAAATTTTTAGACATTTTTGTACAGGCAAAAGATTTGTACAGTCTGTATTCTATGTTTACATCTAAGAAAAGTAACCTTTAAGTTATCAGGTTTCCTGGATCATACTATGATAACAGACGTTTGATAAATAAGGGCTCGGAGTTTAATACTTTAGATTCTCATCACAAAGAGAGGGACTTGGACACCCCGCGGCGACTTAAAGCAAAAAATTATTACAATTACCTATAGATTACTCTCGTAAACTATAGCTAACCATTGTAAATACTTTGATTTAAAACGGAATTTCACTTTAGAATCGTTTTTTCTTTGAATTTTGATGCTTAAATTTTTTAATTAAAACCAATGAGGTAAAACTTAAAAATAATATTTGAATATACTTGTAATATTTCCATTTAAGATAAAAATGTGCATGTATGAGTTGGTGAACATATAACAATCTGACATCCATTGTAAAATACGCTGATTTACTACAATAAAAACTTTGATTCACTATGCTGAAAACTTTAATACTACATTTAACTACTGACAACTATAGTAAATTATACTATTTTTGTTAGGGTGTGGTCAATTTCCTATTCAAAATTCTGCAATATATTTGTTCTATTGCGAAAGATAGCTTACATTCAGAAATATTTTAATTTTCGAAATTTCTCAACCCTTTTTTTCGCTTGCCTCAATATCTTTTTCTGTATATTCATGGCCGAAAATAAAAGAACTTATACGTTACAGATGTCCAATAAACATTAAGGAGCTTAAACTCGTGCAAGTTTCTACAGTTATAGCTCTATAATAGCTTAGGGTTGATATACAAATGTGGTTTACTGCCAGTTTATTATTCGCTTAAACTTCATACTTGCAATTGCAGTCTGAACCTATCTAAATATTCCACATTGAATCCAGAATTTAGAAGAAAGTTCTATGATCCAGTTGCCAGAATTTGAAGTACATAATGCAAACATGTTTTTACATGTAAGTTTGTAAGTTAAACTTTGTAACAATTGTTCCTTATACAGAAATGGATCTTGAATGGTAATTTTAAAGAGAGCACCAAAAAAACATAGATCAACATTCATTTTGTAAAATATCATTGAGTCATTGAAGAAAGAATTCCAAATGAGTTTAATCTTTCTACCATGCTGAAAATATATTCCCCAAAAAAACTAAAAGGACTAATTGTACCTATCTTATTTTAATTTTCTCTTTCAATGCAGAGTACATGGCATGTATATATTAGTCTAGATTTTTAAAATTGCAAGTCCAGCAGAAATATGAAATTGAAATGAAAGAAGGAGAGAGAGTCATATCCTGATACTCACATAGGTCATATAAAGCAGTATCCAAACTGAATATTCCCTGCTTTTGCACAGTTGAAATATCATTTTAAGGCCGGTTACTGAAAACGGAAAAAAATTATTTCTTATTTTTTCTTGACAGTAACGTACACACATATTGTACAAGTAGGTAAATAAATATCTTAAATTTCTTATTATATGAACATGACTTTCTGTGGTTGAAATATAATTTTGTTTATTACATTTACATTTGCACTTTTTGAGACTCCATCATTTAAATCTTTCTATCTAATGTATCAGAATATTAGCCATACGGGCATAAAATATTAAACTGTATTAATTACATAATTAATACAGTTTGATCTTAATATTAATTTGATATTACTTGCTGTAGCTTGAATAGGCTATACTCAATATTTTTTAATGTACGTGTTGCTTCAAGTTACACCTTCTCATCTCTATTATATAATAAATAAATTAATTGTAAAATAAACATCTTCAGTGTAAAATTAACTCTTCATTGTATGGAAATTAAATTCGAAACCGAGAGGCCTTCAATCTGACAATTTCAGCAAAGTGTACCTTCTCATCATTATTGTATGATTTTCTGATTGTTTGTTGTTCGAGAATTTTTCACTCATATACAAAATTCACCATATACCGGTGAAGGGCTTCAAATTTAGACCTTTACTCGGCACTCAGGGCCATTGAGCAGTGAAGGTTCTTTATCCTGCTCACGCCTACCGTTACACGGGGCCTCGGTTTTTAAGGTCTCATCCGAAAGACCGGAATCTTTCACTCCGATGTGCCGCGCGTTTGGCAAAGGAATAGTTGCTTTATCGACTAAGGTCAGTTGCAGTCGTGATTCGAACCTTCCGATCACGGAGAGAGAGCTCTACCGACTGAGCTACCTTAACGATTTATTATTGTATGAAGTTTGCTTGTCAGCTATCTAAACCAAAAGTAAACATTTTAAAGAAATATTCATTTCCATTATAGCTTCAAAATGGCACACTCTGGTGTCTATACATATGTAGCCCTCACTCAAGGGACTTAAATTAAAAACTTCAATACAAGGCTCTTGCTCATTATCATCTGAGAATGCTCACTACAAATTAACTAAAGTGTTCCTTGTAAAGCATGTGTTGCCTGCATTAAATAAAACTAAAGGGTGGTCATTCACTTTTAAATATTATTTAGCATTATCGATGAAGCAAGGAAAAAAAAAAAAGGGCTGGGCAGTAGTATCGATATTCCAGTGTATTGCAGTACAGTACCGATATACCACCCAAAAACTTTGGTTTGGGATTTCTAGAGTAAAATTTGAAATTTACTATGTCAGAAGCGTTTTTCAATCTTGTCAAATAGAAAGATTGCTGTTGTATGTTTGCACTTCGGTGCAAATTTGTAGTTAAATCAACAAGGCCTTTTTTGTTAAAACATATTTATCATAGTTATATACATTCTGTTTTTAAAGAAAGGCTAATAAAATTTCAAAAAATCATCTCAATTGTTTCAATTATTGATAAAATTGCAACACATATCGCAATACAGTTAAAATTATAGCAGTATTTTGCAATATGAAATCCCCAGCCCTAAAAAATCAACGGAGAGTAAGACAACGATAAAAAATACTTATCATTAAAGAAATAATCAATATGAATACAAGTCAAAATAAATACTGAAATTGAATTGATTGAAAGTAATCATCCATTCACACGAGTTTATTCAACAATTCCCAATAAACATGTATAATATTTACAGCTGTACACAATTCTCACAAAACGAAAGTACATATAAGGAAATCAACATAAAGTAATTTTCATTAATCTTTTCCTTTTACACAAAGATATACTGATTCTATTAGCATAAAGAAAAATTAAAAATGCATACAGACGCCTATAAATCCATAAGTAGAAGGAGTTAGTATTTAGATATATGGCATATATATATTTGCTGCCTGGATGTGATAACATAGCACTGGTTCTCTGCTCTTGGTTTTTCATGGCGCTTGCGCCCGTTAACCAATGTCAGGGTACCAGTCTAACGATAACGCAGTTTGCAGTGCTCTATGGTGCACCCCGAGGGAAATCTACCCAGGTAACATGAATGTGTTGGTCCAACAATTTGTCTGTGGATTGTATAGCTAAGAATGTAAGCGTATAAAATGCAAGTATGTGCAATGTATGCTTAAAAGTTATGCGGACGACGTATCAGATACTAACTTTTCTATAGAAATATTCTAATAAACTATATGTCAAGTGACACTCTTGGTACCGTACAAATGTAAAAAGTCAAGATAGCGAACAGTGGTCGATCTCAAAAAATCTATAAATAATAAAAATATGTGAAGAGCGCATAAGACACGGACCACTGGAAATTCCAGAGATGGGATCTGGTGCTTAGGAGGAGTAAGCATCCCCTGTTGACCGTCACGTAAGCCCTATGTACTAATCATGTAGACGGAACTTTTCGTAGTCAAATTCAGTATAAAAACAAAGGCCTAACAATTAGTATGAAACAAGTCAGCCAAAATACGACCCAATGATAAGTTACATTTTCTAACAAGGTCATAATAGAGGCCATACAATTTGGGAAATGCCCACTTTAAACTTTGATTTTATTATTTTTCATGGTTCATTTAAGACTTTGACGGCTTGGCCAATATCAGGTGCCCATGTTAGTTGCAGATTTACAAAAAATTTGAAGTCAATGAATCGTATTACAAGTATGTTCTATGAAACACTACATCCTTTTTGCAGATTGTCTGACATTTCTGTCCATTTCTGTCAAGCGGTTTAAAAGATTTCACTCTTACTTTAGCAGAGACCTAAGTGGGCTACGGACTATAGATATTCAGGCATAACATTTATTATGGGCAGCAGAAAGGGCAAAAATTACCATAATGAGAAAACAAACAATTATTATAACTTCATTGACCATAAAAACTTAACAAATGACATTCAATGCAAAATCAACAGACTTTTCGCAAAAATATATACATTCCCTAACAAAAAATACTATAGTATACTATAGTTAACTATAGTTTACTATAGTTAACTATAGTACCAAAGTAAAAACTTTGGAACTTTGATTTACTATAGTGAAAACTTTGGAACTTTGATTTACTATAGTGAAAACTTTGGAACTTTGAATTACTATAGTGAAAACTTTGGAACTTTGATTTACTATAGTGAAAACTTTGGAACTTTGAATTACTATAGTGAAAACTTTGGAACTTTGATTTACTACAGTGAAAACTTTGGAACTTTGATTTACTACAGTGAAAACTTTGGAACTTTGAACTTTTATACAAACATTTTAATTTACCTGATCATTCTGTTTTGTCAATGAAAGTTAGAATTCTGGAAAAGATTTACCACCACACAAACAGTCCATCACTGAGTACACCTTTCCGTAGACAACGAGAAGAATTTTGGATAAGAAAGCTAGGGACAGCCTTTCCCTATGGATGTAATGACAATGTCGATAGTGTTGGAAATCTTTCCAGTCCACAGTGTAACAATGTAAATGTGATGGGACTTTTTAACTATACACAGAGACGTAAGCGTAGTCATGGGCATCGGTCTTACAATAAACCTTTAATACACGATGTCTCCTTTGATTCATTACTACCTTACGTAAATCAACAGTTAGGGTTACATCATATTCGCACCAAACTTTACTCTGTCCCTTTGAAACTTTTAAATAGTCTTCTTGAAAAGGTCAAGGAAAGTCCATTTTTTGATTCCTCGACAACAGAATATAGGCTCGGATCTGTAGTTATGGATATTGCCAATCATAGGCTTTTTAAACCCCCGCGTTTTACTGAAGAAAATGCAGCTAAAACAATCCGTTTTTTCCTTAAACTTCAATATGCCAACAAAGGAATTGACGCGGTTAATATAAGTAATATCCTTAATCACAAAAGGGTCCAGTCTTGTATTCCACCATATTTCAAGTTAAAGACTACACCTTGTATTTCCTACAAATATACATCGACTATTGCTTCCAAACTTTTTAATTACAAGAAAACTTTACAGGGCCTGGATATCGAATATCTGAAACATAATCCTCCATCGTGTTCATGTTCTTCTTCGCCCTATAACTATAGTCCTGCTGAGCACGTTATTACTGGTGACGTAAATATAGTTAATAATGAGGATCTTAGATCACTAATTTTAAAAGGTCCTAAATTTAGGGAACCCAGATCCTTCAACTGGCGTAAGAATTTCATAAATATTATGGATTCTGTAGAGGACTACGCCAGGCGATGGGCCAGACATGAAAAAGAAGACCTTGACATTTTGTCAGAATTGATTAAATGTATCAGATGTATGTTAAAATCATGCATTAAAAGATTGAGAGGCAATATGAAAACCATCTATCCTTCTGTATTCAATAATCCAGAAGTGAAAATAGAATTAGATAGATTACATGATCAGTACGTACTGGTTTCTGCTGACAAAGCAGGTAACAACATTGTCTTTGTTTGTAAGGCTCATTATATTAAATGTATTTTAGAGGAACTTGGATTTAATTCTACAAGTGGTAATCCAACTTATACTCATAGTTCCCTTTCTAAGGAAGAAATTCTTCAAAATCATATGTCAGTTTTGAATATTTTTAATATTCCAAACAACCAAAATGAATTCGAATTACCATATTCATATTTGATTCCGAAACTTCATAAAAATCCTTACAAACAAAGATACATAGCGGGTTCCAGTAAATGTTCAACCAAGCCTCTATCTTTACTCCTCACTAAGATATTAACAGTGGTGAAGGAGAAACTTCAAGAGTACTGTGCAACAATATATTCGAGAAGTGGTGTAAATCAGATGTGGATACTTAAAAATCCCAAGGAACTTTTGGAAAATTTGAAATCACAAGATTTTACCAAAATCAACAGCTTAAAAACTTACGACTTTTCAACTTTATACACAACCATTCCCCACGATAAATTAAAATCCAGGCTTTTTGATATCATTGACAGCTGCTTTTTTTAATAAAAATGGAACTCGTAAATATACTTACCTTGTCATTGGTCATTTGCAAAATTAATTTGTTAAAAAACATTCTGATTGTACACACAAG